ATAGGCATACGAAAGATATCATTCGCTCTAAGTTTACCTTAAAATGGTTCCTAGGATGCGCCGTGTGTACGTGGAACCTTCTCTCCGGTGCTACGGCGGGCTCTTAATATTTCCAACTCAAATTTAGTAACCTGACTTTTATAAAATACCACTTCTTAGTACTGTAGCTACATAATAGCCTCCAGATGTATGCATCATGCGATTTTTAGATAACTGAAATTTTGTCTATCAGTGCGGTAGTGATAAAATAAATCTCCATAACAAATTTAAAATACTTCCAGAGATCTTCTATCGTTCCAGAGATATGTATGTATTATGAAAGTGGTAGTATGTATGGGGGGCGACATGCTTCCTTTTCTAATAACTCACATTTTTTCCATGAGCAAGGATGAATTTTATATACATAACTCCATAACAAGTTCCAGTATTCTTCCACAAACATCTCCAGGGATATGTAGTAAGAAAAAGTCAATTGGTACGGGAAGTGCCAAGCCACCTTTTCTGATAACCCAAATTTTTTCCATTAGTACGAAATAGAATTTATATATCATAATACCAAGTTCCAGTACTACATATCATAAGCAACTCTACACATATAAAATAATAATTTTCTACAGGAGGTACCACGCCCCCTTTTCGAACAACATCCCTAGAGATATGCAGCATAAAAACAAGCAAATTTGCATGGGAGTTGTCACGCTCCCTTGCCCAATAACTCTCACTTTTTTCCATGAGCATAGGATTAATTTCACATACTACATACATACATACATAACTCCATACCAAGCTTGAGTACTCTATTCCAAAAAATTTGAAGAGATATGCAATATGAAAGTTTCAGTTAGTATGGGAGGTGCCACGCCCATTTTCCAAAAACGCGAATTTTTCACCGTGAGTATGAATTTGATTTCACATACATACATATTTCCATACCAAGTTCCAGTACTCTCCCACAAATACTTCCAGAGATATGAATGCATTATGAAAATTTCAATTTGTCAGGGGGGTGCCACACCCTCTTGATTTATCGAGGCCAAATTTGGTTCTGATTAAAATATCTTTGAAATTAAGCCCTCTTAAACTTTTTGTCGTTTGACACCCGTATTGTAATATTTGATTGAACTTATTAATTTAAATAAACTTTTTTAACAGGTGGAAACTCTTAAAAAGAACCTGTTTGTGAATCCAGGTCAAAAACTATCTCTAAAATTTCATGCAAATCTGTTCAGTCGTTCCCGCGTGAGAGAGCCCTAAACATCCAAATATACAAACTTTCACATTTATAATATTATATTAAGAAGGATTATTTTTGCTCGTTGAAAAAGCACTCTGCCGTTGCTGTAAATTTTGTTGAAGAAATACAAGCATTTTTTTTTCTTGAGAGCCGCAAATGGGTTTCGAAAATTTTGATTAAAAAAATATTTATTTTACATTTCTTAAGTGAAAACACGTTGTCAAATGGAATAAAGAGGCGGTACAACGATTGATTTCGATCAGGATAGGGTACGCCCTGCGCTTTTAGATCGGCTATCTGTCTGTTTTTGGCCCATAATATCATCGATAAAGGTGTGGTTAAAGGAGTTAAAGTTATGTCAACATATCTCGACAAATTTTGGCATCAAGAGAACCAAACCAGTGAAACCAATCTTAAGCTTAAGCCCATTTAAAATTCAACTAAAGCTGCATATCTCGCCTAGCGTCACATTATATTGCAAACAGGTCATCGTTAACACAATCACAGAATAATTGTGATTTTAATTAGCAAAAAAACAGTAATTAAATTTAGTTAGTAATAAAAAAACATAATCACTCAAATCGCTTAAGAATCATTAATTTTATAGCAGGGATAAATAAGTGTAATTAAGAGTTGAAACGTGCATTAAATTTAAAAAGGTGTTAAGTATGTACATACAAATGTTTTGTGCTTACCTTTTCTAATGCTTTTTGTTTTCTTGCTCACTTCGCTTTGTTGCTATTTTTCACTAACGAAAAGTTCAACGTCTTCGCATTCGCCGAGTGAGTGCAATGCAGCGCGCAATTTCATTCTAATTAACGCGTCAGCGTCAGGTTAACCTTGAACGCGTTTGGCAAACGCACAGCCCATGTGGGTATGAGACACATAAGTATCTGCATTTGTATGTATGCACGAGTATATATTAGCGAACCTGTGCGATTAATGCAAAAAAAGTAGTCGAATTAAATTTAAAACAGTCGAACGAAACGCAAAAAAAAAACAACTAGCAAATTTTTCGCCAAAGTTTCGCTCAGCATGCATACATACGCGAGTACATTTTTGTCAACGCGCTGCTGAGTGTCACTTAAATGCAGCAATAAAATGTGAGACGTTTACTAAATAGACATTAAATATTTGATGTTATTTTTAATTTTATTATTTTTTATTTTTATTTTTTTTTGGTTTTCGTTTCTTTCCTGCAGTGATTTATCAGATCTTTTAGCTATGTTTATCTTGATTACCGCTTTTTGCTTAGGTTTTTTGCTCTTCGTGCATTTCCTTGCTGTTTATATATTTTCTTTTATATTCTCGAAATTGTGTATTTTCGTAAATTTCTGTGATTTTTCATACGATTACACGCTAGGCTAATTTTAAATTGCTGCTTTCGTTTCATTGTCGTCTTTTGTTTTAACAATCAATGCAACAAGTTGGTTGAACTTTCAGGGGCATATTTTAGTTTTCTTCTTATTTATTTGTCAAAATAACCACTTGTTCGAAAATAAGGAAGGAAAGCAAGTTTTTCTCAGTTTATTTGAACTTTTTTCCAACGTTAGCTGAAATGCTCTTTGTATTTGAATGAGGGTGGCTTCAAAGTGTATTTGATTTACTTTCGTATGGAATAAATTCTGAATTTGTACAATGTAAGCTTGGGTTCTAAAGAATGCTGAAACGCATGTGGTCTGGCTTAAGAACGCTCCCCGAACTGCAAAAGTATTTGACCTACATGGGCGACCGCGCATAAATCGGCATACCAGACTTGGGATGTATGTACTGGGCACCGTTGTGATTAACTCTCCGCAAGTATTCGATGCCGGAACTAGTACCTTGTAGAACTTTGTCTTAACTCAGCAGAAAATTTGTAACTTTTTATTATGTGAAGAAATGTGTATTTATGGAATAGTTCAGGGCTATTTCGGGACCATGTTGGGCGTAGTTAGCCACTGGTTTACGACCATTTCGAGACCTGCTCAGGACTATTTCAAGGGCATTTTGTTATAATTTTGGAAGTAGTTTACGACTATTTGAGGAGTATTTTGGGGTTTGTTCTAGACTATTTCAAAAAAATTGCGAAACTAGCTCGTTAGCGGTTTTGGCCTAATTCAGGACCATTTCGAGGCTAGTTCAGGTTCAGGACTACTAGAGGACCATTTTGGGCCTGGTTCGGGATCATTTTCGGATTAATAAGGGACTGTTTCAAGTCCGTTTTGTTGCCTGTTCAGGACTATTTCAAGAACATTTGGGGTCTATATCGGCATTATTTTGGGATTTGTTCAGAAACATTTTGGGGCTACTTAGGGATCATTTGGGTAAGAGGTAAGAGCACACTTCGGGGCCGTTTCAAGACTTGTTCAAGATCACTATAGGACAAGTTCACAACTTTTTTTGAACCACTTCAGGATTACTTCAGGACAATTGTGGACTAGTTCGAAATCATTATGGGGTGGCTCGAAACTAGTCACAAAATTATCCTGTAATAGTCATCACCTATGTAAACAAAAAACCAAATGCTTCCCGTTATCAAGGTTTTCAACTTCATAAAATGCAAATGCAATAGAATAAAATAAACTAAAGCCATTTATATAAAAATATTATTAAACTACATACATATTTCCATTGGTCTTGATGGCGAAAATCTTAAACGCCAAAAGCTTAATTAACGCTGCCTACAGAGTTGCATTCAAACGATCTTGAAAGTAACAAATTATAGAAAAATGTATGCACCTAAATGTCGTTTGAATATTTAAGTATACAAATTTTTCTACAATCGAAAAATCAATAATGAAATGCAATTTTCAAGACCACAAACAACAAAATAAAAAAAGCTATTAAAATTAATATGCAGAAGCAAAGTTGAGTTGCAGTAGTCTAAACAACATTTTTCTGACCCGTTTTTAAAGCTAGATTTTAAGCATTTAAACCGCAATGAACAACCAATAACACGCGCAAAAAGTACAAAGTAAGAGTTCGAAATTAAATAATTAAGGAACATTAAAATGCAAAAAAAAAACAGAAAAAATGTTCAACCAATTAAGGCGACGTAAAGAAAGAAAAAGTATGTATACAAATAAGTAAAAAGAAAGCAGTTTTTAACCTGATGTTTGCGCTAACTCATTATTTTTTCTCTCCCATCTCTCCCTCTCTCTCTCTCTCTCTGTATTGTGTCTCGTTTCAGTGAAAAAGTGCGCATTTTAAAGTCAGGAGGACGAATGAAGTCGTTCAATAAAAATCGCAGAGACGCCTTTACAAATAAGTTTCTTTCGGGGCCGAATGCAATTAACACACAGACACACACACTCACGTGCCACAGCGTTGTTGGCGATATTTAAAAAAAAATATATATCTGAAAATTTTTTTGCGGTTAATTAATTTTTCATACCTAATTTTTCATTATTGATTTTAGATTGGAAAGGTGCATTTATTTCAATAAAAAAATTTTGAGTTTTCGAAGCAACAACAAGCATGTTTTTTGTGCATAAATTAGTGCGCAAAAAATATCAAATTTAAGAAAAAGTTGCGTAAAAGTACTACATACACGCAAAAAAAAACAAAAAGCGCACAAAAAGCGTTAAATTGGCAAAATTAATAAATTCTTTACACACCTACATACACACACATTTAACAACTTGAAAAAGGTTAAAAAAAAAAAACAAATAAATTAGCAAATAATTGTGAACTTAAGTGCAATAAATTTGTGCAGTGTAAAACTGCACTAAAAATCAACAATTTCCCAAAGGCCGTTAAAAATTTTTCAAAATTTCCACCCTGATTGGCCGCACGCAAACAACAATGATGAAGCGACGTTGGTCGAATAACGGCGGTTTCGCCTTTCGCATGCACGAAGATTCGTCCACCGAAGTCACCTCATCCTCCAACGGCCTCGTGCTCAGCACCGCACTCTCGCCCTCACCACTCGATTCGCCCGTCTATGGAGAACCAGATCTTTGGTATGATGCCGCCTTTAATGGACATGGTGGTGGTCACAGCGTGATCACTGCAGCACATGGCTGTGCGGCGTTGCTACCGCCACAGACCACTATAATACCCTTACCACCATTGGGCGGTGGCAATGGCATCAACAATAATATGAATGGCAACGCAGCTGGCCACATTGCTAATGGCGGAAATTTCAATAATGGCAATGGTGGAGGCAATGACGGTGGCGGTGGTGCTTTGGGACATGGCCATCAACTGGGTAACGGGCATCTTGTTAATCAGCAGCAAAATGCACAAAATAATAACAATAATAATAATAATAATATGCATTTAAATAACAATATGTTGCATACAACATTGAATCAGGGTCTAATGAACGGTTTGATGAGTAGTGTATTAGGTGGAAATATGGGAATGCAACACAATGGGCTCAACATGCAGCAGCATACACCACGCAGCGACTCGGCAAATTCGATATCATCAGGTGAGTCGGAGGGGGGGGGAGAAGGGGCAAAGAAATAATATGTGTTGTACTTATGTGTATAGTGAAAAATCGTGAAATTTAAGTGAGGGAATTATAATAAATATATATATAATATGCGAAGGGTCTTTGTCCTGGTCATGAGATCTGTTTTACTTTTTCGAAAGGAGCCACTATTGATCCTCACTCAAATTTTCAAAAATGATGAGTGAGGACTTGTGGTGTAGATGTGAATAAGGCTCTACTTTTTCGAAAAAAAATTGCCAACTATTAAAAAATTTAATGCAAATTTTTTAAAAAGTTAAAACAATTATCTATAAAATTAAATATATGGGTATCAACCAAAATGATTTTCAAAAGGGTTGCCACTACTTTAAAAAATTAAATTGAATTTGAATTAAGGAAATTAGGTAACTGACATATGTTTCACCATATTGGTACCAGTCCGAAAGAGGTTTAAGAAGGCAGTAGTGGAAAATATTTTTAAGAAGGTTGCCACCTGTTTAAAAGTCGAATTTGGTTCATTTATGCTCAAGTTATATGAAATATTAAAATATGGGTGCCAAATGAGAGAGTGCTACGAAATCTTTAGTTTGACATTTTATTTTTTTTTTGTGTTTGAATAGAGTTGGCACCTTTTGGAAAAGTTAAACTCATGTTATTTAACAAGTCAAATTATTTAGAAATGGGTATCAATCCAGAAGGGTTTGAAAAGGATTTATTTCTCAAATTCTATTTAATTCAACAGTTAATTCAAATATGTGTGTATAACAATAGCCAGACAAAAGAGATTTAAAAAGATTTTAGTTTGAAAATGCTTCTAAAGAAGGTTGCCAGCAGTTTAAAAACTAAATTATACACATGTCAAGTGAAATAGTAAAATTTGTGTCTAAAACGAAAGAGTTTTAAGAAAAGTTATGTGTGAAAATATTTTTCATTAGGGTTGCCATCTGTTCGAAAAAAAAATTAACTATGTACATTAGCGTGGGCCGAAAATCCGCCTTTTTAGAATATTCATTGGTAATAGCAAAAATATGATTAATTATGCTTTAAAAAAATCTGTGTGAAATTTGGAATTTTTTGGTCAATATCCTAGGCTTGCCCAAGTCAAAGTTCAATATGCTCAAAAAATAAAAATTAATAAATAAATTAATTAATACATTTTTTTTGACTAAAATTGCAATAATCTTCGAAAGTATTAGTCCTACATAATTTGGTATATGGACCTTTTTTGTAGAAAATCGAAGTTAGCTAAAAAAAACTTTTTTAATACTTGAACTTTGGTGGACATGGGCGAGCCTAGGATATTGACCAAAAATTTTCGCATTTCCCACAGATTTATTTTAGAGCATAATGAACCATATTTTTGCTATTACCAATCAAAATTCTAAAAAAGCGGATTTTCGCCCCACGCTAATGTACATATTCATATACTCCTATACATATACAATAGGCGAAGGAATTTTTTCTGAAGACCAACAGATCTGCACCGTTTTTTTGGATTTCAAAAATGAGAGGTCAAATTAAAGCACCAGGCCTGTAGATGTGCAATGAGGTTTTATTTTATTATGATATTAAAACTTTTTTTAAACGGTTTTAACTAGTTACTAGTATTTAAAAATAGCTTAAAACCAGTAGAAAACAATACAAAGTTACTCAAAACTTGCCAGTTCCATTGCCTAGCCGACATCATAAGAAAAAAGAAACTTTATAGGAGTTTATTTTTGGTTTCCGGCAGGCTAAAAATATGATGTATTGTGGAACAATTTTCAAGGATGACAAGGGATGGTTGAAAACCGTTCCACAATACCTTTCAAGAGTCGTTCATTTTTAATCATTTCGAGTTATGTGCTGTCTGTTGCCATAGTTTCCGGACCTTCTGGTTTTGTTTCCCGTAGTATAGGAAAATTTACAAGAAATAATAAAATCCAACTTGACTTCAGACACACTTTCTGTTGCTTTGGGAACACACCTTTTCATTCGCCTTCGAAGGCCGAAGAAACGGACAAATTTAAGAAGCCATGCCAAAAATCATTAATTTAAAAGCGATCTTCATCTGGGGGGTCTGTGTGCAATGATTTTGGAAGAGTATGGCTTTTAGTTCGCATGCGTTCTGTACTAGCAATTTTTTCATGTTCGCAGCGAGCATTCATATTCGTTTATTTACAGTAACTGCAAAAAGCATGGAGAATTTAAAGTTGTGACTAGACACCTCCGTGCAGAAAATAATCTTAATTCCTATATCGATTAACTTTGACAGTGGTATAAAGCGAAAGTATTGATTTACATCCAATGGTAAATATAATGCATACATATATATATATATATATATATATATGTATGAAAACCTCCACCTCTCACAACATGTGTTCCATATTGGCATTGATACAAAATATCTGCACACGGATGCTGTTGTCACTCGTAAGTGCAACAACACTGTGGGGTGCAACTGCATGCATATCTACATACATATGTATGTATATACAGCACACCCGCAGTGCTGCACAGATTAACTAGGATTTTGAGGTCGAGGTTACACGCTGGTGAGTGCGCCTGCTGCTCTTTAAAAGATGCGCCTGCGACCCCGCTCTATACATATGTACCACAGTAAATAATCAGAGCCATTTCAAATTTAGAGCAAAGTTTAGTATGTAAAAATTTATTTCTATGTATGGAATTTTGCTTTGGGTTCACTATATCGTGAACTGCAGTATTTCCTAGCCACATGCAACGTTGTGCTGCATGCAGTCGATCGCCCTTGACCGCTTGTGCACTAATGTACTACTTTAGCTAAGGACGAGGTGAAGAGACCCTACGAGTTTATACTTAGCAGTAAAATTTTTACTGTTACTACGAATATTTAGAGCTGCATATGTACATATGTAGTAATATTGTGTAAGTATGTATGTACTTACTTGCCAGCTGTTGACACATTTAAGTGAACTTTTTTGTTTTTGTTATATCTACCATCAACTGGTGTTGGTGGTAGTTTTTGCTTGACGTCTACAAACTAGGACAAGGTTACGTGCAACAACCACAAATTTCACATTACATACCCAGCACCAGCACTGCCACTCGCACCGCCGCCCCTTTGTTCTGCTTAATTTCAGGGTCACTTGCAAATTTACTGCAGTTTTTTTTTTCATTTGCTTAGGCTTACGTGCGTTTTATTTATTTATTTTTTCTTTTTAATTCTTTAATTTTTTTCGGCATTTCGCCCTTATTTTCGCTTTTATTATTCCACTCAACTATGTACTATTTGTATTGGTGATAATATTGCTTTTTCTTCGCTTTCTGCTGGTTAGTAAATTTTGTGAACTGGAGCGTTAAAATTGCAGTGTAACCCCAAAATGCCGCTACAAATAAAATTTTGGTGAAAAAACTAAATTACCCACATTTAAAAAAAAATTTCAAATAGCTTACCAGCATACATCAAAATCGCGTAATTATGCAAATTATCCGGATTGTCGGCCAGCTGTATTGCTAATTGCTTGTTCTAAATTGCTCAAATGCGGTTGCCATAAGCAAAAAATGGCTGGGATTAAAAGCGAAATTTGCATTTTGTGCACTTCAGCATTTATTTACCCTATCTTAGATAGCATTGGACGGTTATTTTGTAAATGTGAATTTTTTGCTTGTGTGGTTTATGGAAATAAATATTATTTATTATAAATAGAAACACAAATATTTAATTGCACAATTCTGATGAAAACTAACCAAATCTTTTACCGAGTTCAATAAAACCTGTTCTGGTTTTAACAATACTATCAAGTACAATGGCTTGTATTGAAGGTATTGCTAGTCGATAACTTTTGTTGAATTATTGTCGTCTTAAGCCTGCCGCCGTGATGCGTTCGTTACGTTTGCGTCACGGTGGAGAGGATACCGAAATTGGCGCCGTTGGCAACACCGCAAATCGGCTCTCAGTGAATTTGACAGAATCAGCTCTTTTGCCGGCGTCACAGTCGAGATGGCAGCAGTAGTGATGTGCTATTTTAATACTTTAAGGTATTGACCGATATTCGGTACCGATTTAAAAAGAACCAATGGTTTCGAAACTCCGTACCGAAACATTTAAGTTTGGAATAAAAGCACACATAGGCCAAAAATATGGAAAAACGGTTCAGGGGAGACTCGCCTATCAGAACCCGAATGAAGGAGCCAATAGAGCTTTTAATACTGATTTAAATGAAAGATATCGGCTCGAGGCCAAAATACAGAGAAACTCTTACTTGTTTGAAGCATTTTTGTTCCGGCTGAATCGGACGATATCATTTTTGTAGGCATGGGGGCAGATTTTGTAACCAGTTAGCGACAATTTTCGAACCGGTTTTGTTGACGTATGATATGAAATATTTTTACGTCAACAAGTGCGATATCGATTCGAAACTTGTCGCTAACTGGTTACAGAATCTCCCCTGAAAGGCTTTTTCATCCATCAAAGCATTTTTCTTGAACATTGGATCGACTAAGGTTATAACTGATAAAATAATATTTCTCTGACGAAAACGGAGATTGAGAAAAAGATAAAGATGATGAAAATAAAAGCGGAGGAGTGAAATAACTGTTATCAGACAACGTAAAAATAAACGTTGGGTGTAATAACTCTTATTGGCGACGGAAAACATATTTCTCCTGCATAACAATAAACGTTGGGTTATAACTCTTATCGGCGAAATAAAAAAAAATATTTCTCATCTAATAACTGTCATGGAACAATGTATTTCCGATAAAACTTATAACTGTTATGTCCCTGCTCTCGATGCCAACTCTCAACCTTTGAATCAAGTATTGACCTGAGCCTTCAAGTCAATTACTATACATAGTATATTTAACGATTTGATTGTATGTATCAAATATTAGTTTCTATACATTCTTTTTTTGATGATACCTACTAAATATGTTCTCCATAACACAATTCTTCCTTGTCCAATGATACCCCCGACGCAGTTCACCTTGAAAAGGTCAAGATCATATTCTGCATTACATCCTTGCGAAATCAGGTCATCAGCTGCCCTCAAAATTTAGGCCACAGCGGCAAATTACAAAACAAGAA